TTGTCATCATTCATAAATCACATAGTATGCATGTAAGAAGACTGGTGTAAGTTTTAGAATATGAAGGAAGGGTAACCGGTTTAAGTTTGTTTTTTATTTTATTTTATTTTAATTAATGATTATGAATTTTCCTTTATTTTATTTTACACATATATGTGTATAATAAGCATAATTGAGGAATATTGATAAGGCCTTCAGATGTCCTAGCTACAGTCTATATTCTCTTGTAAAGAAAATACGATTGTGAACTCAGGACTGTGCAGTATGTTGCAGTAGATTTTGAAATGAAGGTGAAAAAATAGTATCACTTTAACCACAAAGCAAATGATAGTAGAGTAAGTCTTTTTGTAATATGCTTACATTTATTGACTTACCAACTTATCATGTCACTGAAGATGCCACCTGTGTGGATCTTTACAGACTGCTGTTTCTTGTCACATGCAACAAATGACTTGGGGTAACACCTTAGTTATTTCTCAAGATCCTATCCATATATTTCCCTCTCTGACTTCCTCTTGCGTCCTCCACTCTTTTAGACAAAGCTACCTGCCTCTTACCCTATGACCCATGAATTTTATTCGATGCCTTCTTTATGTCGTCATTACCTCTTTCTCAGGTCCCACTAGCTTGACAGCCACCATAATCTTCCTCCTCCTAATCCAGGAAAGCCTCAACGGCCTCTTCCAGCTCCACGATTGTAGCCTTTCAATTCTTTTCTCTGATGTCTTTGGGGGTCAGGCAGTAGTACTAACTATATGTCTTTACAATTCTTTTCCATGTCTTTGGAAATGAGTCTGTTACTAAGAATTGATATCATTTGTCCATATACTGATTATTTCCCCTTTTCCAGGTGTATCACTGGCAGAGTGAGGGAGGGGGCAAGAAGTCATCTGTGGATGACATGGTCCTCCTCTCCAAGATCACTGAGTCAGCCATTGCAGAGAACTTAAAGAAGAGATTTATGGAAGACAAGTAAGTTTGTGTGTTTTATATATAATTATATATAGATATAGATATAGATGTAGTAGATGTAGATATAGATATAGATATATACATATACATATACATGAATAATAAGTATATATATTTTTTTCTTTTGTTTTCTTTTTCTTTTTTTATAGGAATGTAATCTTATTCTGCCTTTGCTGAGAACTTAAAGTAGAGATTTGTTAAATATAATAATATATATATATATATATATATATTTTTTTTTTTAGGAATGTAATCTTATTCTGCCTTTGCTGAGAACTTAAAGTAGAGATTTGTTAAATAGAGGAACTTTTTTATTCAATAGTATTTTTTATTACAGTTTGCACAAAAATCTTGCTCATTGAACTTTCTTTGGTGTGAAGTAATTGCTTGAAATATAAAGCAAATAGTGATTCATAGAAATCTAGATGGACATTAATCTCACATTATAACTATGAAGAACAGTAACAATAATGATACAGAATATTTTAGATTGTATGATGTGTGTTATGTTTAGATTTTCTGATATATTTATTGATTCATATCCGCAGAAATAATTATCACTTCCCCAAATGCAAATATCTAATTCTTGTCTTTTCAGAATTTACACCTACATTGGGCCTGTGCTTGTTGCCGTGAACCCCTTCAAGCAGCTGCCATACTTTGGAGAACGTGAAATTGAGATGTATCAGGGTGCGGCACAGTATGAAGTTCCGCCTCACATATATTCTATTGCTGATACAATGTACCGGAATATGTTGATCGATTCCGATAGCCAGTGTGTCATCATAAGGTCAGTAGCAATTGGTCATTGACAGGTTAACAGTTAGTGTGGAATAGGCTGCTCATGTTATACTGTGTAGTCTGTGGCTGAAGATCTAGACTGCTGAGAGAGGTTAGGAATTCAAAGATGAAAAGTGAAATGAAATAGACAAGAGGATAGACTAGTAGAGTGTGAGTAAGTTACATACGCTGGATAGAAATAGTAGTAAAAAAAAAATTAATATAATTGTTTTATAATATACTAGACAGTGAGATAACGGGTGGAAAATGGAAGTTCAGACAGAAATAATTTAGGCTTGTATACAGCTTTCAATTATTATTAATTTTATTTTATGGCAGAATCCATGCTCTACCATTACTAAATTTTTCTGCTTTTCCAGCGGTGAATCTGGAGCAGGAAAAACCGTCTCTGCAAAATTTATAATGAACTATATAACTCGCATATCTGGAGGTGGACAGAGAGTCCAACAAGTTAAAGATATTATACTTGAGTCAAATCCTTTGCTAGAAGCCTTTGGAAACGCAAAGACAACAAGAAACAACAATTCCTCAAGATTTGTAAGTAATATAAAGTTTAATATGTATAGAATTAAATGGAACTAGATATTTTTGAAGTTTTCAATTATTGTCATTTAATTTTTTTGCAAATGCATAGTACAAAGTGACAGCTTTTGACAATAAGAATAATACAGTATATGGAATATACTTGCAGAATAATGTGGACTTTATTGTACCTAAGATATATATGTAACAGACTTTCAATTTTCAGGGAAAATACATAGAAATTCAGTTTTCTAGTGGTGGTGAACCTCTCGGAGGAAAGATTTCAAATTTTCTGTTGGAAAAGTCTAGAGTTCACTCACTCAATGAGGGTGAGCGCAACTTCCACATCTTCTATCAGCTTTGTGCCGGAGCAACAGGTGACATGAAAAACAACTTGGGAATTTCAACACCGGATTATTTTTCCTACCTCAGCCAGAGTGGTGTGTATAAGGTGGATGGCACCAATGACGCACACGAATTCCAGGAAACACTCAGAGGTAAGGGCTGGTGTGGGGATGGGGTGCCTGGGGAAAGAAGTATTGTTTCCTTATAAATGCATTTTAGTTTATGTATATATAGTTGCTACATACAATTTCTAATGTAATTCATTTCCTCTACCAGCAATGTCTGTGATGGGAAGAAATATTGTTTTCTTATAAATGCGTTTTAGTTTATGTATATATAGTTGCTACATACAATTTCTAACGTAAGTCATTTCCTCTACCAGCAATGTCTGTGATGGGTATGGCGGAAGAGACGCAGATGGATATCCTGTCTGTCGTTGCGGCCATTCTGCACATGGGCAACATCTCTTTCGTAGAACAGAATAATGCAGCCACAATTTCTGATGCAGCCTGTAAGAGCAGAAACATCTTCATTATTTCTGATGTAAAATCTTATATTGCCTTTATTGTACAATAGGAGAAAAAAAACACAAAACTTTGATTATTTTCTCTTTTGAAATATTTTGATTTTTAATGCCCACTTTTTGTTTTAAGTTCTGCAGTTCCCTGCCTACCTCTTGGGGATCGACGAGCAGAAGTTAGGCCAGAAGCTTACCAGCCGCGTGTTTGACAGCAAATGGGGAGGGAAGTCGGAGAGAGTTGACGTCACGCTCAATCTGGAACAGGCTCAGTTTGCTCGTGATGCTTGGTGTAAGGGACTCTATTCTAGGATGTTTGATTATATTGTTGAGGTAAGGAATTTTGATAGAGTACTTTTTGTATATATATGGGCTCCATTTTTAGTTTAGTCAGTATTCAAAATATTGATGAATTTAGGAAGAATACCCATGTAAGGTGATGTTTTGAACTGTAAAGGAAGTGAGGTGATAAGTAGTAGAGATAAGGGATAAGTTTTATGTGATTGTTACTATTTATTTGATTTTTAAAAATTAATCAGGGTTATTAAATAAAGAACAAGTGACTATACGTGCATCAAGATTGAACTTCTTTTCAGACTGTCAATAAAGCCATGGTTACCGATGCCAACTTATTCAGCATTGGTATCCTCGACATTTATGGATTTGAAATATTTGGTCGCAATGGATTTGAGCAGTTTTGCATCAACTACGTGAACGAGAAACTGCAGCAGATTTTCATTGAGCTGACGCTGAAGAGTGAACAAGAAGAATACAAGGCTGAGGTATTGTGCTTCATATTGTACTTTGAAGGTTGTCAGTATTGACTGTGTATTTACTGACTTATATTTTATTTCTTTAGACATTTGCACTAAAAACTTAAGAATCATATGTTATAGAGCACTTGTATTTTATTCTTACAGGGTATTCAATGGAAGCCCATTGAATTTTTCAACAATAAGGTTGTGTGCGACCTCATTGAGAGCAAGAGACCACCTGGAATCATGTGCATCTTGGACGACACGTGTGCTACCATGAGTGCTGTTTCCGAGGGAGCTGATGATGAGTTCCGTAATAAGATGAGCTCACAGGTAAGACAGTAGCTTAGGAAGATGAGATATGTCGGAGCCAAGCCAGACTGTAACAACATTTCGTCTGCCAGAATTCTTTCTTTTGGTAATTGTCTTTCTCTCTCTCTCTCTCTCTCTCTCTCTCTCTCTCTCTCTCTCTCTCTCTCTCTCTCTCTCTCTCTCTCTCTCTCTCTCTCTCTCTCTCTCTCTCACCCTGAGTCCCTCACTCTCTGCATCATGTAGTGTTTTTGTAAAGACATTTGTTTAGGTTTCATGGTTTTCTTGCGTTGTGCTTTTGTTGTGTCTGTTGCCACGATACAAGTTTTTTGTTGCATTACAGGTCGGGAGTAATCCTCACTACCAGCCTTTCAACCACGGTTTCACCATTAAGCATTATGCAGGAAATGTCTCCTACCATGTTGAAAACTTCTGTGAGAAGAATAGAGATGTGCTTTTTACCGACATCATTGAGGTACGGTTTAGGTTTCTGCGTTATATGTTGTAAAAAATATTTGTTATCTGGAATAAGAGGAGTGGCTTATTTTTGCAAACTATTTGTCATGTTTATTATATGAATTGCTTTATTACTATTATGTTTTTAATATTTATATTGTTGCTTGAAATGATTTATGATTTGAAAAGATTTGAAATCAAACAAAATTAGAAGTTCAGTATTGCAAATTTTCTAAGAAATAAACATGTAGCACAATCAGGTTTTGACTCAAGGGCTAAAGTCTTTCTCTTTGTTTTTATTGCAATTTTTAAAAATTATTTTCCACTTACAGGTCATGCAAGGAAGCACCAATACATTCATCCGCAGCCTCTTCCCTGACGTGCTTCAAAAGGGGTCGAAGACGCGGCCAACCACAGCAGGCACGAAGATCCGCACTCAGGCCAATGAGCTAGTCACAACACTGATGAAGTGTGTCCCTCACTACATTCGCTGCATCAAGCCCAATGAGACTAAGAAGCCGCATGACTGGGATGATCAGATGGTGAAGCATCAGGTAAGAAATTCTTATTTTGAATCTCCTAAAGTAGAACAGAAAACCAGATTTTTGAAAATTAAAGATATATTGTCTTTCTTTTCAAGTAGACTGTATAACAATTTTCTTCTTCTCTTTGCCTTTGTTTTCATAATCTTCCTAGAATCATGTCCTTTTCCCCCCCCTTTTTTTTAGGTTGAATATTTGGGTTTGAAAGAGAACATCAAAGTCAAGAGAGCAGGATTCGCATACCGCCGTCCCTACCAGAAGTTCCTGCACAGGTACGCCATCTTGACCAAGGAGACATGGCCAGCTTGGTATGGAGAGCCCACAGAAGGCATAAACGTCATAATGCGCAGCGTTAACATGGATCCTGCACAGTACCAGATCGGCCGAAGTAAGATATTTGTGAAGGTAAGTGATTACTATTTTGGTGTGTGCTTTCAGTGAATAATTTTTCAGTCTTTTTGCATTGCAGTGTAAGAATTGCTCAGACTTGGATATATAACTTTTAATTGTGTTAGGGTCTGGTATCCCCTTTTCATTGGTACTTCAAATAATTACTGAATTTTAATATCTTATTATTCTTAATTTTAGGAATAGAGTTATGATGATTGGATGAAGAGGATTAGTTTCAATTATTTATATAATTTAATTCATTTTTATGTGTCGCTAACATATACAATCCATCCAAAGGACCCTGAGTCACTCTACATGTTAGAAGAATCAAGAGAGCGCAAGTTTGACCACTATGCAAGAGTCATCCAGAAGGCATTCAAAAAATACTTCAGGTACTCTTGATTTTGCAATTGTTTCTGCCAAAGTTGAAAGATTCCTGTTATGAAATACATATAATTCACTTATTCTATATATGTAATTGGTGAATGCTGTACTTGTGTGAAAAGATAAATTGTGTACATTGTATAACTGACATTGGATAGAATCTGTGGTATATTTTTTTTATAAGATTTGAAGGTCTTAAATTTCATGATTTGTATGCTGCACGCTATTTTCTAATTGATATTGCACTTTGATGATTGATGAATACAGAATTATTGAATAACTTGGTCCTCTTTCTATAGTAAGCAGAGGTACCTAAAGGAAAAAATGGCAGCTAGTGATCTTCTAGTGAACAGGAAGGAACGTCGCCGGAATTCCTTGAACAGAAACTTCTACGGAGATTATATTGGTGTCGAGTACAAACCAGGCCTGACAGCACTGATTCCAAGGAGAGATAAGGTGACAGCATTTGTTGCATTTCATAGTCTTATGGGTCATGAGAAATTCATTTAAACGGAGCTCAATCGTCCATTTTGAAAATGTGTGAAAGTGGACATTTTACAAAATCCAGGAAATTAAGTTTGTTATAAGGTGCTATTTGTTGTAAGATATATGCAGTGTACTTTTGTTACTGTTATTGCTTTGATGAAAAAGGTTGATCTGTTTTTTCCATATCCTGTGATCTATTAAGTATGGAAAAAGGAAAGACAAAGAATCTTGAACTTCTTTTCTGGGTATTTCAGGTGGAGTTTGCGCTGACAGTTGACAAATTTGACCGTAGATTTAAGAAGACCAAAAGAGATCTCATCCTGACCAAATCCCACCTGTACCTGATTGGGCGAATGCAGGTCAAGAAAGGGCCAGAGAAAGGTCAGATCAAAGACGTAATCAAGAGGAAAATTGACTTGGAAAATATCTCTCAAGTAAGCCAAAAGATGCAAGTTGTTTTAGCTTCCTTGATGATATGGTGGATATAGTTGTCATGCTTTTGAAATTCATTTATTGTCTGGGCATCCAAATGTTCTCTGTACTCTCTGTCTTCTCTCTCTTCTCTTCTTTTCTCTTCTCTTCTCTTCTCTCTGATGTTAGTAGTAGACTTGTTTATCAAAAATGTCAGACTAAGTTGATCAGGCATAGTTGTTTTTCTTCTTCTTTTCTTGATTTTAGACCATTGCAATCTTTCCTCTAGGCTACTCTGTCCACATACCAAGATGACCTGGTTCTGATCCACGTCCGGAATGACTATGAGTCATTGCTGGAAATACGCTTCAAGACGGAATTTCTGATGGTCCTTAACAACAAATTAAAAGAAAGACATAACAGAGAGCTGCCTCTGAACTTCATTAACAGGTATGTATTGTCATTATATGTTTCATTTCTTGCTTTTAAAGACTGAAAAAATAGCTACCAAAATCAGTGTATGAAGGGTGACTGGGAAATGGTAATTTCATAAAGTTAGAGGGATTGATTAATGTGACTACAATATTAGTGTGTGAAATTATGCATTCTTTTTCTTGCTTTGCTCATCAAGCATGATATGGTTACTAAAGATATGATTCACATATTTTACAGTAGTGGAAGCCTCGTACAAATGTAACCTTTCAGACGGTTTCCTCACAAAGTGTTACTGTCTTATCTTACTGATGTTCAAAGAATGTATTATCATATATAAATTACTGTTTTGATGCTGCTCATAGCTGTCAGTCAGTTTGTCATATCCTGTTTTACAGTTATTGAGAATTGATAAGATGAACTGTGAATGAAATTACATCATGACCTTCAAAAGAAATTTAGTTCTTTTCATCTTTCATAGATAAACTTATTATTATTGTTACTACTACTACTACTACTAACTTCTAACTACTACTACTACTGCTACTACTACTATTTTTATTACTGTTATAATACTTAATTTTCATAAATCCTTTTTAGCTTTGACTTCCGAGTGAAGAAAACTGGATGGGGTGGTGGAGGGACAAGGCGAGTAAGATTCACAGATGGAACCACAGACGAACCCCTATTCGCATCTTCTGGTTCTACGCTGTCTGTCAAGATTGCACATGGTCTATCTTCCACTTCAAGTGAGTGATGTTTCATATACTCTTGTGTGAGTGTGTTTGTTTAGTGTGTTTGTGTGTGTTTAGTGTGTGTGTGTGTGTTTGTGTGTGTGTGTGTGTGTGTGTGTGTGTGTGTGTGTGTGTGTGTGTGTGTGTGTGTGTGTGTGTTGGCCTGGCTGTGTCTATATTTTTGTTTGATTTATAATGATATACTTTATTTTGACATTCAGTAAACACCACTCCTCAGTCATCTATATTTGACTTTTGCCTTTATCTTTACCATGAAATGACCTTTGTAAAAGTTTACAGTTGAAAGGAAAAGTGAAAAAATGGAGCACAATCAAATAAATTTGTTTTTCCTCCTATTTTACATAGGATTCTGTCCAATTTGCAGGTATGACATTATTTTTGAAAACTGTATGAAGATGTAATACAGCTCTGCATGTAGGACACAAAGATATCAAGACTTGTATTTGTGTAATTGATGCCATTTGTATGTTAGATTGATGCCTTTAATTGAGAATACCAGTATGTTAGATTGCTTCTCTCAGTAGCTCCAAACACTTCTACTTGGGTGTTCTCTTACTGTAGATTTTTAAAGGAGTCCTTGATTGCTAAAGTAAAAACTGGTAGTTTTTTTTAGTGTTGTACATCATTTGTTTTCAAAAATCTATTAATTATAGGTTATGAAAGATGTATAACCATAGTATTCTCTCTCTCCTCTAGGGCCTGGTATATATGTGATAACTCCGGATATAAGAATTCTTGCCAATGAGATGAAATCACCCAAGAGTAATAATGTCCCTGGCTCAAAAGGAAACCTGCAGCCACCTGCTAGGAATTTTGTACACAGGAGCCCCGGTGGAAGTCCCCTTCCAAGGCCCTCAGGACCGGCCCCAAAACCCCCCGGCTTAGCAGCAGTTTCCCCAAGACCCCGAGGGCCAGCAGGACCACAATTTCGCCCCCCAAGTGCTCAGCCAGTGACAAGTCCTGGATTCCCACGTCCTCCTGTAGCAAGAATGCCATTGAATCCTGGAGGAGGACCGCCTGCCTTTAGATTGCCTGGAATGGGTAGTCCTCCAATTCAAGCTATGCAGCCGCCGCCTCCACCACCTAGCGATCCTTGTCCAGACAATCAGCCAAGCATCGGGAATGGAAGCTCGCGTAGTGTGAATAGACCCCCAGCAAGTCTACCCGCAAAACCACCTATTAATAGACCCAAGCCTACAGTACCTCAAGTCAGGGCACTCTATGGGTAATAACAATATTGTGATTTTCTTTCTTTCTTCAATAATTGTTATTTGTTGTTGGCAGTTCATTCATTAGTACTGAGTATAGTGTTTCTCCACACTAATGTTTGTTTTGTCAGATTGCCAGACTGATTATTTACCCTCTTCCTTGAATTTTTAGATTTTTCTTCTTTTATTTACTCTTTATTGCAAACAGTGTTATATTTATCTATTTTGTAAATCAGTTCAGAGGGCATCTCTACACTCCTGGTCTCAAGGGTTGAAGTTTTAATTTACAGCTTTTATTTTTTTCCATATTTATTTTGTACCGACTATATCCAGGCAGTTAAACATTTTTTGCACTCTGCGCATTTAGAATAAAACTTTGATATATGTATCATTGGGTGATTTTTATTTTCAGATATGATGCAAGTGATATAGATGAGCTGACATTTAATGAAGGAGATATTATGGTGTTAGTACAAGAAGGTAAGTCAATATACATTTTTCTTGGCAGTTTTATATTCATGAAATAGTGAATCTTTTTTTTTTAAGAGAAAGCAGTTTTGACACAATGGCTACAAATGACATCTGATGGAATATGCCACAGTGAGCCTGAATTCCAGTTGGCAGCATGACATGCCATGACAGTAGAGGCTGCTCTCAGTTCTATGTGCTGTAAAGGCATGTAGTATTATTGCTTCAAAGGCATTAGGTTTGTGAGCTCCAGCCTTCCAAACACCATGCTTTTTTATACATTTATTGGACAAACATCATTTAGAAAGAAGAGTAGTAAATGCATTTTTCAGTGACAATTGTATATTCAACATAAAGAAAGCCTTTGTAATACTGTTTCACTGCTTTCTAAGTGAGATGAAAATCCAAATGAGACTTTGTGAGAAAGAAAAAGTTTCCAGTGGAGTACAGCCGTGCAGAAGCCAGTGGCAAGCCATGTCCCAGATTTTAAAGGAAGAAAAAACTATATTTCATGCTAAGGTCACAATAGAATGGAAACTTAAAATAACTTGGTATGAAACGGTCACAGTGGTGGGGAGACACCATTTGTTTTCCTGTTTCTGTAACTATCGGGTGTTTCATTTCATCGTTGTACTAACCCTGTTTGTGTTTCTCGTACTATTTAGTTTTTGTTTCATCTTTGTACCAACTGTATTGCAAGTATTTGTTTATATTTTAGTAGTGTATTAATATGAATATTCCTTAAATCCTCTTTCTCTTTCGCAGATAAGTCTGGATGGTGGACGTGCAGGTTTCGTGGTCAAGAAGGGTTTTGCCCAGCTAATTACCTTGAGAAAATGTAAATTCTTTGATTGTGGTAAATAATATAGAAAAATAATAATCTGTATATTTGTATCGATTCATTTTATATTGTGGAGTCATTCTCTAGTATCTCAATATTTTGCTGGAGTTTAGAGGAGAAATAGTTTTAAAATTAAAAGTTCAGCTTATATTTATACCTCATAATGTTAAAAAGCATTAGAGAGAAATGATTGATATAAAATTAGAAGAAAAGTAGCTAGCAATATTAACTTATTTGGATATTGTAAAGATAAAAGTATTTTGGTCCTAGAAGAAAATAAATGTCAGTGCTCATCATGTACTTTATATTTTATTATATTTTGTATCGTATCTGTGTATGTATGTGTGCGCATTCATCTGTGTGTTTGCGCATGAGTGAATGCATGATGTGGGTGAGTGTTTAAGCAGATAACCTTTCTGATGGTTTGAACAGCTAGCAAAACAGTTTATTCTTAAAGGAATAATTTTATAGTTCTGCTGAATTCCTGGTATATAAAACATTTTCCTGTGGCATTTCATACTTTGATGTGTTCGAGATTAATGGGAGGATATTATAGACTATATTTTAATAAAATATGGTTTATTTTGTACAGGATCAGGAGTTGAATCAGAACAGTTATTTGTTAAAATTGCTTTGAAAAGTAATAAGTGTATGGCTATTATATATGGTCCAAGTAATCTTCATTACATATACCTGTAAATATTATCCGTTTCAACCGATAAGGGTAAAGATGTATATTCTTTTTAATATACTCTTCATTCTGTTTGTGTAAATAATAACTACAGCATGACAAATGGTTTTTGAACTTTTCTTTATTGCATAATAACTTGTATCAGGTTTGCCTCTATTTGTTTTGTTAAAAATGTGTGATGTTATGATCAAAGCAGCATTGATTTGATCTCTTATGTATAATGTTTTCTCAGCCACATGAAACCTATTATTCAGCAGTAATGAAAATTAGTAATGCAATTTGTTTCGTCAGCAGAATTGTATTTGTATGTAATGTCATTATTAATAAATTCCATTTCTCATATTAGCTATATATCAGTGTATGCTTAAAGAAAAGATAGGAAAAGATTGTAAATATGTCTGTATATTCATTTTTATAAGTATTTAACATAGAAATATACTGTATAGGTGGTATACCAACCTTCATTTAGTGAATGGACTATACAGCAGTGAAGATTTCTTGCTACTAATGATTGACTTTTCTGTTTTGTTTGCTCCTCCATAGTGCTAAGGAAGAAATAAATATGCCAAAGAAAAGATATGAGTAACCAATATTTAACAAGTCATCTTTGGAAGTGCTTAATGAAATGATGGATGGACATTTGTAAATTATACACCTATCTAGTCTTCAATAAAATTTCATGTTTGAAGTAAATCCAAGTTGTATAATTATCCTTACTTAAACTTCATTGCACATCCCTTTTGCTTTCCCTTTTAGAACTTCATATATTTCTTAAATATTTCTTAAAAGTAAATCCGTAATATCTTCTAGTCATTGGGTACAGATATTTCTAAGGCTCTAAGAATCACTTTTCTTCCAGTGAATAAACCTTGAGAGCATTTTATGTCACTTTCCCATCATGCAGCCTTGTTTGGTGGGAAATAACAATGCCACTTGTCATTATGGACTGATAATGAAGGAAGGAGATGATTAACTTAATATTTGCTCCATGTTTGATATAAAGTATCCTGCGTGGTCAAGAACAAGCAATGAATACCAGTGGTTGAAAGCTCATTCATCCTCTAATTCATCGAAAGAATTCTAGCCATGATATCTGTAATGTTCATTTCTAAACATTTTAAAAGGCTTGCTGCAAGAAAGAAATGACTTGTGCAAGTATTGCATGACAATTCTCTATCTTCATACCTTGTATTTTTTGGAATTTCATTATTGCACAAGTTAATATACAAGTAAATATCACCACCATTGGTAGATTTTCTTCACTAGCTCAGCTTGGAGCTAAAACATCTATCCTTCAGATCACACAAGTCTAGTATGTATGGCTTCGCAAAGTAAGCAGGAGCACAGGCCCTGTCTGTTCTAAAGTTATTAATCATTTCACCTTTATGAGCAAGATGTTGAATGTACAAACTGTACTGTAAAGTTTTATTTCTCTGGCCACTCCTTACAATGAGAACCCAATAATCTTGGTCTCTAACATGAGATGTTCTGATAAGGATTAAAGCTCTTTTTAGACTTCATAGTGATGTCCCACAAAAAAATCCTCTGTTCTTTACACAACAGCTTGTGAGACATTATCTTGCTAGTGCATTATGCAATCCATAAATAAAATGTGATGTGAAAAGTGTCTTGAGAATCACTGTCTAAATCATCACTCTACTGATGATAAAATACCAGAGATAAGTGTGTGAAACAGAAAGTAAGGAGAAACATTCCATCTCATGAAATATTCAAAATAAGGTAACACTGTAAAAAGCAAGGCTGTCTAAAGGAATGGATCAAATACCACTATCTCAATAAAACTTCCTCTGTGCCGAGTAAATGACAATCTCCATGCAGATATAGACATCATGGATGCAGCTAGACCAGGCCAAAGGATACAGAATCTGTTTAACATATCAAAAGAAATGGACGTCTAGAAAGATCAGAAAATAATGATGACTACAAAGAAAAGAGAGTCATCACAAGAACTAAGAACAAATACCATCAAAATTAGGAAAGAACAAAAAGAAATAAATACCACACTAAATAGCCCAATAGCATGAATAGCATTATGAAGCTCTACTTAAGACCTCTGGGTATTTCTTACACTATTTTTCTTCTTTTTTTATGACGGGAGGAAAGGGCATCAGTCATCAAACATGGGATAAAAAAGAACGAGTGGTTTATTCTTAAATATAAATTGAAACACTGGTAAAATTGTGTCTGGTGACATGTCTTTCATTAAAGTTATGAAAACTGTCATCAAAAAGGATTCCACTTCTTTCTTGCTGGTGGCAGAGATGCACTTTTCACTAAGAGGTTGTAATAAAAATGAAATATTTACCATATTTTCAGCTTCATTCTAAAATCACTGTAGGTACAAAGTTAGTATATCCTAGCCTAGAAAAGAACAAGGCAAATTATACTTATATTTGTGACAGAGTCTTGAAATACGAGCTCCTAAAACTTATTAACTTCGAGAGGGAACTTCCATTCAAAACTGAAAGATTGGACATTTTGTAACTGGCTGAAACTCTGGCTTATGAGGTCACTTTTGACTTGCTGTCTGAAGGTTGGCTATCTCGTCCATCCACCTGCAATGGTTGGCATTCACACTAGCCTAAGTTGATATTAATGGGATCACACCACTTGGAATATTTCATTGCTGAAACCATGTCTGAAATTAATGGATAATGCTTACACATAGCAATTAATGGAACACAGGTTTCCAGTCTATGTTACTTTCACAAACATATTGGTAAACTGGAAAAATAACACCCAAGAACTATAGATATTACACAACATATACAACAACTATTTCACCTGAAATCAAGTATGAGACTCCCTGGTCAGACCATAAGTGTAAATGTAAAATCAAGGGATAAAGAATGAATGAAAAAAAAAAAAAAACCCTTCCTACAATTCCAAAAGCTGATATACAGGTACTAACAAACCACATTTCCGCCTACCCTATGAGCGAGATCTGAACAAACGTAAAAGGCCAAGTGATTTCAATGTTGAAGTTCCTGTAACTTCGACCAGGGAGGGATGAGGACAACAATTGGCCAATTTTTAAATTAATTTAGAAGAACTCCTTGGAACTCACGAGGGCTTGAAATTGACTGCATTGTAAGGAAAAGAAGAAGTAAAAAAAAAATAAATAGAAAAAAAGACAGAGAGCAGGAAAGACCTACCCATCCTATGTATCTCTTGCCAAGTTACTAATACCTCAACATCGTTTCCTTGGCCTAATATGTGCACCATCTCTGCTTCTGGCAGTCACAAACATTTTTTCCCCGGCTGTTGTCTGCTGGGCTTCAATACATTTTTAAAAATTGGAAAGTTGTGAAAAAAAAAAAATGATCATAAAACTAAAAATTGCACAAATTCTGCATATACCACAATTTTGGAGGAAAAAACTATATATCTGAAGAGAATGTGAATAATACACAAAGATAAAAAAAAACAAAAAAACAAAGGTGGGTTACATAATAAGATTGGTGGGAACTACCATTTTCACCCGTCATGCAATATAAAGTCACGATGCACCCAAGTATGTCTCAAACTCGCAAGAACAAAAGAGGCGTCGGAACATCCCCTCACACATGTATGAACACTGCTCTTTCATGACGCCATTTCTTGCTAGAACCTTTTCTTTTCTTCTCCGACATCACTATTGTTTTCCCCGTTTCAAGTAAACTCACACTATGCACAAAATCCTTTTGTCCATTTAACATAGAGAATCATCTTTAGTATAAGAAACAATTAAAAACAAGAATACCCCAGCAATCTCTCCTCTTTCCTTCCTTTTTCCCCTTCTCTTCTGAAGCGTTTTCCGAGCTGCAATTATTATCCATATTCTCAGTTTTCCTTAACAGCACTTTTTGCGTCCTACCCTTATTTCCATTCAGTTCTTCAATAAGTCTGTCCCATTCACATCAACTTAACAGTTCACCACACATCTCAGTCTTAACTGCCTTCTACTACTTGCGCAGATCCAAAACAAAAACACTTCCATCAGATGCCGAAGCTCCCACTTTGTCTCCTCGAGAATTCCAGCACACTTCAAAGATTCCACCTGTGCCTTTGTAGCTGTGAACCAGCTGCCCAGTCTGAAAAACAAAAAAAAAGAGAAAAAAATACATGAAATCAGATTCTCTTACAGATCATCATTGAACGATGGTAAAAGTTCATAAATGAGAAATCTCAAAAGATGCCCTCCCTCAAAAAAGAAAAAAAGAAAGAAAGAAAAGAAAAGAAAAGAAAAAAAAAAAAAAAAAAAAATCAATCAAGTTCTAGCAATAAGTATTCCAACAAACCTATAATTGAATAAAAAAAGAGCCACAGAAAAGGAACACATTTAAAACAACTGCATCACTCACCTGCGTAGACCAAATATGGACACATTTGTCGAAGCTTCCAGATGCTAAGAATTTGCCATCTGGAGAGAAGGCCACAGAATATACAGGTTCTGAGTGTTTTGTCAGGGTATGTATACAGGCACCACGCTCTACATCCCATAGTCGAACCGTAGAGTCAAATGACGCACTGAAATGTAGAGCACAATAGATGTTCACTTAAGACTAGATTCACTATAATTTATAGCTAATTTCCTTTCCAAAGATACTGTAAAACTAAAAAAATATACATATATTAACTAATATATATCATAGTCTCTTTCACAATATGACTGAATACCATACCGTACCTAGCAAGAATAAGATTCATATTTGCGTTACTCGTTCCTGGACCGGTCGGCGACCACTTGATAGTGTAAATTTCTTTACTGTGAGCCTGCAGGTCGTGTACACAAGTGTCTTGCCGCATCGACCAGATCTGTGTTGGTTAAAGTGGGACCATTACACAACAATCACCATGCATTGCCAAACAGGACCTCAGAAAAAAAAGAAGAAGAAGAAGTAAAAAAATAAAAATAAATAAATAAATAAATGAGTTATGAGAATATCATGAGCAATAGCAGCCTGAAGAGACATCTAATTCGAAACTTATATTAAGACAGTGGTAGAACGACACATCTAATTTTCACAGAGATTGAAGAAGGGAGCCCCCTTTACCTTTAGAGTCATATCATCTGAACAGGATGCCAGAAGATTCCCCTGTGGATCCCACTTGATGGCATTAACTTCATTTGTATGCCCTTGGAATGATTTGATAGGTCTGTTCTCGCCCAGCTGACACACGTGGATGCACTGGTCAGTTGAACAACTTGCAAAGGAATTGTTGCTCTGCCAGTCCACGTCAAGAGCTGGAGCTGAATGGAAGGCAAATTGTTGTGTACAGTGCCCTGAGGAAGCGTCCCAAATGATAGTGGTCTGCGGGTGAAGAGAAATGCAATCAGTCAAAAGACAAGTACTCTAGCGACACTGGTATCTGTTCTACAGTTACTTGGCCATTAGATGACCTGTGACAATAGTTTCTTTTAATGATTCCTCGTCTCAAAACATTACAATTATCTTGTACGCAGTTGGTAACACACCTTCAGCTCATCAAAGCTTCTACAGATCTTTCAGAACTTACCTTATCTACACCTGCACTTAAAATATAGTTGCCCTTCTTATTCCACTTTAGCGCGAAGATGGGTCCTTTATGTTGACCGAGAGTCGATGCTAACCGTCCATCTGTCATCCAGATTCTTGCATAGCCGTCATATGATCCAGTTGCTAAGAGATTTCCATCACACTAAAAAACAA